TTTCAGATTTCAGCATTTGTCTTAATCTAAGGCTCAGACTCTGGGCCTCTCGTTAGTACTAGGTAGTAATGAAAATGATGATATGCTGTGCTTTTCCTTAATAACTACAGTGTATCGACATAGATATGTGTGCAAGAACAGAGGGCCTGGTTTCATATATGAGATGCTAAGGCTTCCCAGCAGTATTGATTTCTTGTACTTCCTATGCTAAAACGGTAGTGTTGTATTAAATGTGGGAATGGTAATGTAAACTGAGTTAACCAGGGATGCTGGCTGCTCTACAGCATATAATTTGTGTGGAAGAAGTGTGATGTGATGATGATGTGTGTGAAAATGGAAGAAAATAGGTTTTTTAAAAAAGAATCTGAGGATTCTCATGCTGGATTAGTTAACATGAGAACGTAAGAGAAGCCAATGTTGGATCAGGCCAATGGCCCATCCAGTCCAACACTCTGTCACACAGTGGCCAAAAATACCAGGTGCCATCAGGAGGTCCAGCAGTGGGGCCAGGGCATTAGAAGCCCTCCCACTGTTGGCCCCCCCAAGCACCAAGAAGACAGAGCATCACTTGCCCCAGACTGAGAGTTCCTATCTATACCTTGTGGCTAATATCCACTGATGGACCTCTGTTCCATATAAGAACATAAGAGAAGCCAATGTTGGATCAGGCCAATGGCCCATCCAGTCCAACACTCTGTCACACAGTGGCCAAAAATACCAGGTGCCATCAGGAGGTCCAGCAGTGGGGCCAGGACACTAGGAGCCCTCCCACTGTTGACCCCCCCCCCCAAGTACCAAGAGTGCAGAGCATCACTTGTCCCGGATTCCCTATCTATACCTTGTGACTAATAGCCACCTAATTCCCTCTTGAAGCTGTCCATGCTTTTAGCCGTCGCCATCTCCTGTGGCAGTGAATTCTAGAACTCACTCTTTGGGTGAAGAAGTAAAACGTGGATGAACTAAAGTCCTGATTCTTTGCCCAAAGTTGCTAATGTGGATTACAGAAAGTAAATTGATGCACACTGTGTGTGGAAGCTGTATACAGGTGACACCATGAGCACACATGTCTGTTCTCGTGCCATGATTACCTGTAAATGAGTGCAGCATCAAGAGAAAACTGACTTGTATGTAATATATGTTCAAGTCTGAATTGGCTCTTACTACTATAAGCACATGTGGGGCTGCAGTGGCTCAGAGGTTAAGACACTGAGCTGCAGACCAGAAGGTCTGTAGTTCGATAGTTCAAGTCCTGAATGCTGTGTGATGGAGTGAGCTCCCATCTCTGGCCCCAGCTCCTGCCAATTTAGCAGTTCAAAAGCAAGAAATTGCAAGTAGATAAATAGGTACCGCTTCGGTGGGAAGGTAACAGTGTTCTGTGCGCTGGCCACATGACCCCTAGACCGTCTTCGGACAGCGCTGGCTTTTCGGCTTGGAAATGGAGATGAGCACCACCCCCTAGAGTCGGGTTCGACTAGCTTTCGAGCAACGGACACTGATATAGTTAGAACATGTAAAGGGAACCAGTGGATGAATCTCAGGAGTGTATGCTCAAGTAAACATTAGGAAGGTGTAAATTCACACTTCATTTAAGTGTGGGGCTCTTATTCTTTACTGTAACAGCTCCATAGAAAATAGTGAACCTGACCTCCACAAAGAATAGTGGTCACTGATTACAGCTTCTTGTATACCAGTAGTCAAGAACTACTATGGTACAGTGGTTAGAGTTCTGGGCTAGGATCAGAAAGAGCCAGGCTTGAATCTCCCTTTGCTGTGGCCAGTCACTGTCTTCTAACCTACCTCACAGGGTTGTTGTGAGGATAAAACGGAAGAGATGAGAATGAAGTAAGCCTATTTGGGTCCTCATGGGGGAGAAAAGAAGGATATACATTAAGTGAGTTAAAAGTATGTGTTCATTTTTAAGATTTTGATCCCATAACCACATTTTTGAAATGTAAGACATGCTGAATGAGCTTTTCTTTAATTAATGTCCAGAGCCTTTTGCCTGTGATTTAAACTGCCAGGTTTCCAGTCACAGTCCTTGTGAAGATTGGTTGCAGGCCCAGTCATATAACTACGGTCACTGTGAACTGGTAAATGGGCAAGCCAGTTGCTGCCATGGATCTCCATTATGTGTCACCTTCACCTATAAAATTATTTAACTCTATCCAAAATCTTTTGCTCAAGTTTTGGTTATAGAGAGCTTGCCACAGGGTGGGAGAGTAACTATTAGTTACTCAGAATCACCATATATGATGCTTTGAGTTTGAAATTAATAGCATATAATACAACTTCTTTCACAAACACATAACTACGGTCACTGTGAACTGGTAAATGGGCAAGCCAGTTGCTGCCATGGATCTCCATTATGTGTCACCTTCACCTATAAAATTATTTAACTCTATCCAAAATCTTTTGCTCAAGTTTTGGTTATAGAGAGCTTGCCACAGGGTGGGAGAGTAACTATTAGTTACTCAGAATCACCATATATGATGCTTTGAGTTTGAAATTAATAGCATATAATACCACTTCTTTCACAAACACGTATTTTCACCAGAGTATTAACAATTAAGCCATATCAAAGTTTATTTTTGAAATGCTGAGCTGTTGCTCTAGTGTGAATCTGCCCAGTGCTCTATATTATCTACTTTAAAATCCCTAGTGTGTACTACTTTTTGAAACAAAGGTCAGTAATATTTTTCTGACAGAGCACATAATTTATTAGATCTCTGGTAGGGTTTCCACCTTTGTTCCAGCTAGAGGAATAGGCTGGCAAGGGACCAGTTAGAGGAATAAGGTGGAGCATTTAAAGCTTGGGGCTTAGGGTCATTTATAGACACCATCTTTTAGCAAGGCCCCTGCGTGCTGTTGATATAATTCTGCATGTTATTGATATAGCTAAAATGGTATATTAGACATGGCACATGGCTGCACATCAGCCAGCTAACTTGTACTATGTGTAGTTACAGTTTATGTATTCTAGTTTGTAAATGCTTTTTTGTGTATTAATTAATTAATGTAGATGAGATCTGTTCATTCTGTAAAACCATTTGGAAGCTAACTAGGAGGTATAATAAATTAATCCTGGTAAACATTTGTGTTATTAATGGGTGAAAAGTACATGGCACGCCACACCTACCTTTCCTTACTTTCACATAGATCATATAATTAACTACATATTTTCTGAACTAGAGGGTTCTAATATTTCTAATCCCTCTTAATATGTAAGGTGTGTCATATTGAGATTTTTAATTAAGAGAAGCCGTTCGTTCATGCCATTGTGCTATCAGAATGTGATTCTGGCTTGGAATGCCCATGTTTGTTGAGCTTCTTTGTGGACTTTCTACCTGCTGTAAGAATACCTATTTGTTGCTCTTATGGCCTGCTTGTAAATTTAGAAATAGAACTATGTCTTCTTAGGCATGATAAGACTCACGGGTTCTCAGCTAAAGAAAACTAAACCAGAAATTGGTGCCCCTGGAATTTCTTGCTGCTTTGTGAAGTAGGAGTAAACAAATAATAATGCACTTGAATTTCTTTGCATGCTTTAATCTACACGGTAGTGAAGGAATAAATAACAAGAAATTTTGTCTTTATTCTCATACTTTATTCCCTTTTTGGGTGCAGAGTTCTAACTGCACACTTCCAAGCCTATCTTTATAACTGTAAAGGATAGAAACTGGCTTTTAAAAATATGAATAAGATTTTCCAGATTTTGGACCTGATTCCAATTTCTGTGTTTGGACAGAAAAGCCATAGAATACACTGATTCCCAATCTTAAACTAGAAATAGTACAGTTTAAACTGGTTGTGTATTTCAGAGTATACCTTGGTTTAATGACTGTTTGAATAAAGTTTATTTTTCATCCTTGCCACAAGTTTTGAGAACCAGCTTGGTGTAGCAGCTAGAGTGTTGGAGAAGGCTCTGGAAGACCAGATATAAATAGAATGATTAGAAGCTTGCTGGGGGACCTTGGGTCAATATCATTATCTCAACATAACCTACCTCACAGGGTTGTTGTGAGGATAAAATGGAGGGGAGGAGCACATTGTGGGGAGAGGTGTGGTATAAATTAAGTAAATAATAATAATAATAAGAGATTGGATTTATACCCCGCCCTTCACTACCCAAAGGTGTCTCAGAGCGGCTTACAAACTCCTTTCCCTTCCCCTCCCCACAACGGACACCTTGTGAGGTAGGTGGGACTGAGAGAGCTCTTGACAGAAACTGCTCTTTTTCAAGAACAGCTATGCCAGAACTACGGCTTGCCCAAGGTCATCCAGCCAGGTGCAAGTGGAGGAGTGAGGAATCAAACCTGGTTCTCCCAGATTAGAGTTCGCACACTTAAACTACACCAAACTGGCATATAAAACACAGAATTAAACTTTTTTGGTCTTAAAGGGGCCACTGGACTCAAACTTTGCTACTTTGCAAACTGGTTCTAGAAATTTTCTAAAAAGCTACAGCTTACATATTGTTGTTGTTCAGTCGCACAGTCGAGTCCGACTCTTTGTGACCCCATGAACCACATCACGCCAGGCCCTCCTGTCTTCCGTTGTGCTCTGGAGTTTGCTCAGTTTCATGTTCATTGCATCGATAGCACTGTCTAACCATCTCATCCTTTGCCATCCCCTTATTCTTTG